ATATATGATATATTGCAAAAAAGTTTAATTAGTTAATCAACTGAAAGTCAGTAAGAAATTCGATTAACTGTTTTTGAGTTTTTGAGTTTTCTTCATTATTTTTGTACAAGATGTGAAGATTTTGCCGTTTTTCTTTGCTTTATATAACAACAAAGTAACTTAACAAAAAAGAGTGTCTTCAGAGGACAGTATTAAGTCATTGGTACTTATGGACTTCCCTCTCATAGACCAGAATCATAAAGGCTATTTTGTAAGTTTTTTTCATCTTGAATTTTTAACCCTTTCTTCGGGTTTATGAAGACAAAACTGTCACAACCCCTAATTTGTTTATTGTGTGTGTTTTCCCAGGCTGAGACCATGCAGGCTGACCTGAGACCAGAGCAGCAGGCCAAACAACGGGTCACCGTCCAGCCGTACGTCCCCTTCAACTACCAACATCAGAACTACCTGTACATCTCCACAGGGACCACCGCGGTGTCCGTAGGAGACCTACTGCCCCTGAAGCTGACCGTCGCTCCCGCAGACCCGACGCACAGACAGTTCATCACACACATCACCTACCTGGTGAGACGAGACCGCCGCACCACATTTACAACACAGCAACAGAATCAAATAACACACTTTGTACCCAAAACTCTCTCAGGTGCTGAGTAAAGGCAAAATCATTGTTGCCGAGCGCGTGGAGGTGACGGGCCAGCTGGTCACCGGCGTCGGGCTGACGGTCACCCCGGAGATGATGCCGTCGTTCCGTTTCGTGGCGTTCTACGGTATTCCCTGGGAGGGGCGGGAGGAGGTGGTGGCGGACTCCATCTGGGTGGATGTGGCAGATTCTTGCGTTGGAGGGGTGAGTGATCAGTACCGACGTGTTATTGGAGCGACGCACCTGTGACGGTGGAGCTTGTAGTTGTAGGAAACAGTCACGTGTGTGTATCAGTAGTAGATTTATTTGTACACCTTCTCAATTTCTTGTGCAGAAATCCTAATCTACAAATCAGGAATTAAGAAACTCACACGCTCACAGTTTTTTCTCCAGTTACTGCAGTGAATATGGTGCGTTACGGTGGTATTTTTGTCCATGACTTCATATTTTTTGATACAGCTGTATGAAAGTGTTTTTGCACCAGATTTGTAGAACAGGATTTCTGCAGCTGCAATGACGAGTTCGAGAAGGTGTCACAGTTGTGTTGTGTTTGTGGAAGAGAAAGAAAATCGAGCCATTCCACCGTCACAGATGCTCAGGTGTTGTTCTCAGGAGTTTAGTGAGTTTTAGGGGAACTCAAACTCAAATATATTGAATCAAATTGAAAAGGGAAAAACGTAGAATAACGCCAGCCTTATTCTTTAATCGTTATTTACTCTTCTGATCTGGTCTGAAACACAAACCGACCAGTTAATCAGGATGTGTTCTTTGTGTCGATGAATTTTAATTCTCGTTGTCTTCCAGCTGAAAGTCGGGCCGGTGGACGGCAACCGTCGAGACTACATGCCCGGGAAGAGCTTCAGGTTTCAGGTCAGAGGTGATCCGGGGGCCAAGGTCAGCCTGGTGGCTGTGGACAACGCCGTGTATCTGCTCAACCAGGACAGACTGACACAGAGGAAGGTAGGTGTGATTGAGAAAATGAAAAATTCAAATTTTTTAAAATTTTGATTTGACAAATTAAACATAGTTATTCACTTTGTTATTCACACATTTTAAAATAGTGTGGTGTTACAAGTCATTAGGCAATTTTTTTGTTCCATACCGACGAGCATCATTAGTGTTTTTAAAGTGTCATACCGAAACTAAAAGAAGCCTCTCGTCACCTTGTCTTCAGATTTGGGGCGCGGTGGAGCACGGAGACATCGGCTGCACCAGAGGCGGAGGCAGAGATGCCACATCGGTGTTCTCAGACGCTGGACTGCTCTACGCCTCCAGCGCCGGGTTCAAAACCCAAACCAGACAAGGTAACCTTTGAGCATGGAGCAGCTGAAGATACAGCATGTTTCCTGGTACTTCAATAGATAAACAGTCGATATGAAACAACAACATGCTAAAGCCTGTTTTTGTTTACTCCTTTGTGAATGAAATACTTGATAAAGGAAAATACTCATCAAGTGAAATTATGGAGAAATGAATGAATATTTCCAGCGATACACTATGTTTACATGCATGTACATACAGTATATTTTAAACTGGTCATTGCGGCGTTTTTTTTATTGCTTAATTTGTTTATCGACTACAAAAAAAGGTATTGTGATTGAATGAATGAGGAGATGGGTGCTTTACAAATACAGAATTAGCTCATATTGGAGTGTGTCTTTCTCATTTATGGTTACTGTTCACTGTAAAAACCTTGTATAATACCGTACGTATATCAATAAAGAAAACAATACATACAAAATGATCAGGTATTTTAAAGTTACTGTAAAAAGTAACCGTGTCTAATGTTGGAGTCCGACTTTAACTTTGTAGAAGGCCATGTTTGCTCTGTGTTTACTCAAAGTGAAGCAACACTGGAGCTGAAGCTGCCGTACTGAGGCAAAGTCGTATCGAAGGCTGATATCCTGCCAATATTTAGTTAGTTTAAACTATCAGGGGACAATAAAAGTCTCCACTGAAACCACAAAATACTTGAAAAAAACTGCTATTAGTAATACTTCTTCTACTGCAAATGAAAATAATCATAAGTAGACATCAAAACTGTTTTAGAATCAGTTTGACAGTCAGAGTCGTATCATTACATCCTTGATATCTATCAGAGTGGCAGCACTGATGCTGGTCATTAATCAGATATATCTTTATTTGTAAAAAGATCGTCCACGATAGAGACACGCAGATGAACATAAATATGTTTTCATCTTCTCCTCAGCCCTGCAGTGTCCACGTAGTGCCAGAAGGAGGCGCTCTGCCGAACTTTTGCAGCGTAAAGCACAGCTGGGTGAGTAAAACGAGGGAATGAAATGCAACTAATTGACCGCTAAAGGAAAAAAACAGCACCACAACAAGCTGATGAAAAAGTAAAAGTATGATGTTGTTATTACCTCCGCCAAGGAGGTTATGTTTTTGGTTTGTTGGTGTTTATGTCTGTTTGTCAGCAGAAAAACTACCGGCTCGATTTTCATGAAACTTGGTGGACGGATTTGAGCGTGGGCCGAGAAAGAACCCATGAAATTTTGGAGCGGATCGGAATCACGGGCCCATTGTTTTTCACTTTCCTGAACATCACTTCACATCGAGTGCCCTTCTAGTTGCCAATGTGTAGCAAAAAGCTGCCTTTTTTTCCACGTTTTTGTTTTATCATGTTCAGTTCCCTTTACAAGATGTTGGTGTTTTACTACGAGCACTGATGACTGACTGCTGGTTCCTTCTGCCTCCAGAGAGTCATTACAAGGAGAAGCTGCAGCGTCGCTGCTGTAAGGACGGCCTCAGGGAGATCGCCATGCCGTACTCCTGCATGCGGCGCTCCCTCTACATCACGGAGGGCTGGGAGTGCATCAGGGCCTTCCGCTACTGCTGCGCCACCTTCAGGAACCAAGCGTTTAACACGGAGATCCCCACCACCCCGCCACCCTTCACCACAGCTCCCACCACCACCGCTCAAGCCACCAGGCCCTCTGTTCCATCCGATCCTTTTAATAGAGTGCACTGTACGTTGGCTCTGGTTTATGCTCTTAGATGCTTGTTTGAAGAGAGGAGATGCACTTATGACTTCTGGTGACTAGTAGTTCTCTCGAAAACCGATGTTGAATACACTTATTGTAAGTCGCTTTGGATAAAAGCGTCTGCTAAATGACTGTAATGTAATGTAATGTGTCTGCGGGTGACGGAAGGGTACTCCTGTCCCGGGATACATTTGGTTATTACTCTACTTCAACCTTTTTAGATTTTTAGTTAGCAGGAAACATTTTCACATCTTTCTTTGAAATTTTGTGATATGATGTTTGAAGTGTTTTAATGTGCTGGCATGCTAGCATGTGCTAACAAAGTTCAGATGAGGCTGATGGGAATGTCATTAGTTTTGCAGGTGTTTGGTCACAAACCAAATAATCTTCATGCAGAATCTGTAGGCAGTGGGACAAGATGTTGGTGCGGGAACCGTTCTGGTTTCCGTTGGTGGTCCATGTACCGATCGAGTTTGAGCAGGCTTTAGTTGTATGCAGGTTTAACGCTCCACGTGGAGAGAAGAGGAAGCAGAACGCTTTGGCTGAAATGCAATCTCGGAACCCACCGGCAAATGTCTGATGGCCATTTAGCTTTTTATTTGCTAAAAGGTATATTAGGTATATTAATAAACTGCCTGAGAGGAAAAAGTGGTGGACCGATATCGCCACCCCGAGAGCTGCTAGAGTGGCACAAGTTCGAATAATTCCTTCCACGTAGCCCATTAAATGCTTCCTCCAATAGTGCTGCAGAGCCGGGTTTAACAGTGGGTCCCCGTTTTATTGTGTTGCATACAAGGACATGTCGGTGACGCAATTTTCACACTTTTCCGCTGATCTACAGGTTGCATTACCACCCCAAAAAACAAAGCCATGCGCCAGAAAAGGGAGGGAAGAAGAAGCATAAACACAGCTTTAGATGCAGATGATTAATGAGGCACTTTTGTCAGACATCCCACAATGTGTTTCGGGGAGAAACAATGAACGTTAAAACTTTTAATGAATTTGATGTGTGTGTGTATGTAGACATATTAACAGCTTCTAGATCCATATATTAGAGATATGTAATGAGAGGTCAAGACCTGCTAATCATGTTAAAATGTGTCCATAGATTGGGAAACGGTACGTGTAATGGCTAGACCTCAAAGTCCGCATCAATTGCCTATCCTTATTGGACAGCCTGGAATGAGTGGACTGCGCCCGACCTATTCAAATGCTAACAAAATGGCAGAAGAGGAAGATGAAGAAGAGGAGGAAGAGGAGGAATACCTGGATGAGACTGAAGTGTATCTGCGATCCAAGTTCTACGAGTCTTGGCTGTGGACGGATGTTAAGCTGCCCAGCCGGGCTGACAGAGACGGGTGAGTGAAACATTAAAGTAGTGGTAACATCAGAGGCCGACGATTCTCATTAGCTTACTCAAGCACTCTGAATCTTCTTTTTATTCTGACATTGTATTAGTCCCTGTACTGCAGTTACGATGTTGCAGGAGCGATAAGCAAGCAATCAAATAGAATTTAGAAATAAAAGCAAATAGATGACCACCATTGAATGAAAAGGAAAACGGCATTAGACATTTAATTTCATTTAAATGCTGATTCCATTTTCAAATGATTAGAAAATTGCATTTTAATTGTAATTCTGACTTAAATTATTCTTGCACGAACAGAAAAGTTTAGTATATATTGTTTCTATTGCTTTTTAATTTTCAAACTTTTTGACATTTGAATATCGTCCGCTGCACAGCAGCGTACGACTTTGGAAATTATACGAAAAACAGCTTTTCCATTTTTAATTTAATATATTCATAGAAAGCCCGATAGTATGTGAAAATGAAAATTGGATTATTGCATTTTCATTTACATTTTTACTCAAACAACATACATATGTTGAAATTTAAAATGCTGTTGTGGAATTTCACTTTAATTTTCAAGTTTATATTGTAGTTTTAATGACGACCTCTTTGGGCTTCCATAGCTTAGTGTAACAATATGCAATCAACTTCTCAGACTTGTCTCTTGAACACTTTATCTGCAAAAAGATTCAACGTTAAGAAGAAACCATCAATGGCACAAATTTCACTCAGTGGGATTAATATTCTTAGACAGGAAAAATGAATCTTATTAATGAATAATAAGATATATGGACTTTTCTTCAGTTGCTATTTTTATTGTAGTTTCAAGATCTATTGGTGTTGCTAATGATAAAACAGATTTTAAACGTATTGGGTGTTTGTGAAAAGACCTGCAGTGAAGGAAAGTGTTTGAGTTCATGACTCATCTCCACGGGAACAAGGCAGTAAACAAGTCATCCCTTAAAGAGGACACAGAGATTAGGAGAGAGCAATAACGACACAATATGTTGTCCTCTCGTGTTAACCGACGTGTTGTAACCGTAAAGATTTTGGTATGGAGCAATGGTGGTGTTAGAGTGTCTGTTGACCCTCGTGTGGTCGTGTGGTGTGACGTTTGATCATGTTTCTAAAAACGTATGAAGCCAAAAGAAGGTTACTTTTAAATGTCTATTCTCATCTGTTCCGTCCAGTATCTGTTCAGGACATTGAAGCAAACACGGCACAGAAGCACCTCCCCTCTGCTGTAACGGACCAACTGGGTCCCCAAAAGTCCAAACCCAGTCAGTGATATTTGACGTAACATTCTTGATCCAAAGTCTCTCACTCTGTGTCATCATGTGAGGGGAAGGCACCGTGAACTCCCGGCATTGCATCATGTTTTGTTTGGTCAGTGATCACCGCTGGATAAACAGCTCAGAATCAACAATGCTGACTCTCTTTCCCGTAACAACCATCCATGTTCTGCATTAATTTAAGTTAACATTTTACAAGTTAGCTGCTGAATCGGTAGTCTGTTTTAAATCTTTCTTATTTCCTTGCTTTTATACAGTAAATTAACATTTATACTGTTATCCACCAATCAGCACCAAGTCATATTTATTGTATGTGCAAACATACAATGAATAGTTGGCATTAAACCATTTCTCATTCTGATTCTGAACAGTGGCAAATCTACCACAGAGACGCAAAACAACCAAAAAGGACACAAAATGACTACATAAGGATTCAAAACCACCCATAAGAGAAGCAAACGAACCAAAAGGGACTGTTAAGAGCTGCAAAACGGTCAAAAAGAGACACAAAAAGACCTTGAAGAGACGCAAAATTACCAAAAATATGTCTCCTTGAATCTGGCTCTTGTTCATATGTAGGAACCTGGAGGAGTGGGGGTCCTTTACACGGCTGTGCCCAGGGGCCCATTGTCTCATAATCCATCCATGTATACAGCTATGCTATACTTTTTGTTGTTACACCTTTAAAAAAAAGCAGAGTGGTTTTGACGTTGGACCTCCTGGTGATAACACAGGTATGAATCTGATCAACAGGTTGGCGTTGATGAACCTGGACCATGCTTTACCAGACAGCATCACAGAGTGGGGGGTTCTGGCCATCAGTGCATCACCTCACACAGGTACGAGGAGGCCACACCCAATCCAGGCTCCGTTTTATTTACTTGTCTTTCTTTCTCATTTGAGTGAGCGAGGTCCAGAGTTTTCCCATTCTTCCATCTTCATTTTCTTCTTCTCTCTCTTGTAACCTAGCTTTTCTTTTTTGAGCCCCGGATGTTTGGAGAGGTATTTCCAACTTAGCTAGTCAGGCTGCAGTTTGCTTTAGTCTTTAGATTAGCGGCACATGTCTCTTCTGCACATCTAACCACCACATAGACTGTATATAATGAGTGGACATAATCACTCATTGGTTTGTTGAGTGCCGTTTTGAAACCTTGAGTCGCCATCTTGGATTACAGACGTTGCCATCTTGGCTTTTTGCAACCAATGAACAGAGGTGACCATATTTGGAATGCGGAGGAGTGACGTAGAGACGCTGTTTACATCTCTGGTAGTGACAGTGACCTGTCAATCACAGTAAGCCCCGCCCTAAAGCATCCCCTGCTTTATGGTCTGTGTGACTCTAAATGGACCATAATGTACTAAATGAACATCATGCTGTATTGAAGAAGACTTGAAACTAGAGATTGAGACCATAAACTCATGTTTACAATGTTTACTGAGGTAATAAATCAAGAGAGAAGTAGAGTCATTTTCTCATGGACTTCTATACAACCAGAGGAGTCGCCCCCTGGTGGACACTAGAGAATGCACGTGTTAAAACACTTCAGCATTTGCCGCCTGGACCCCCACAGTTAATGTGAAAATGGTTTTCACGGTGATATACAGTAAGTCAGTGAGTAAATGTTTGTACTTGATGCCATTGAAGGGTCAGCCGACCTTCATGAGCCCCCGTCTCCTGGGCCTCGAACGGGGTCATCTGTACCCTTTGATCCCCCCTGATAACGGGGCTGAGTGTCACATTGCGGCTCCTTTTCTCCCGCAACATCTTACGACACCTGCCACAGGCCGGCTTCTGACGACAATTCTGGCTTTTAAAAAAGGCAAACTTGTTAGCAAAATGGCACATTGAGTATCCCAAATTTTATGAAAACTGGACTATGAATATGCAAGCACTTGACTTTGAGATGTCTACATTTAGCTTTCTCTGCCAATATGTCCCAATGCATCGCACATGTTTATCATTTCTTTAAAACAACTGTCACCACCACTACATTTAAAAACAGTTATTTCTGTAGACTTTCTGTAGAATCTGTTGTCCAAGTTGCTCAACTCTACAGGAAATTGATACATTTTCAGCAATTGCATTGACAGTGTAAAAGCACAGCAAACTCTTGACGTTACTAAAAAGAATCCAAGGCTTAACAAATTGTCCACACTTTGCAAAAACATTTAAAGATTTGAAAGTTCAAATCTTTAAACCCAAAGGATGAAGGAAATACATTAAACCCATTCATACTTGTGCAGAAGCCCCGTCACGAATGTTTTCTCTGAACGTTTGTAGGTTTCTGTGTTGCGGAGCCTTACAACGTCAAAGCATGGAAGCGGTTCTTTGTGGACCTGAAGCTGCCGTATTCAGTGGCGAGGAATGAACAGGTCCAGATCAAAGCGGTGGTGCATAACTACGGCTACGAAAACCTGCATGTAAGAAATTCCGAGCTCAAGCTCTGATTCAATGCTTTTTAATGCACCGGCACCTTCTTCTCATTCAGATTACATGTCGTAGTCATTGAAAAATGTAAATATGTGTATGAATTTTGATGTTAAGAATATATATATATATATTGTGCCTGGTTTCCCGTTCAGGTGAGGGTGATGCTGATGAAGACAGAAGGTATTTGCAGCATTGCCTTCAAGAAGAAACACACACAGGAACTGATGCTGCTGGCCGGCTCTTCTGTGGCGGTGCCTTACACCATCGTGCCGCTGGTGGTGGGGAAACTTCCTCTGGAGGTGATGGTGGTAGCCAGAGACTTGATGGGAGGAGACCGCATCCAGAAACAACTTCGGGTGGTGGTGAGTCACTCTTGATGATGATCTTCTAAAAACAGGGTCAGCTGCTAAAACAGGAAAGTTGATATTCTGGATTGTAAAAATTCTGTGTGTCCTTCCTTGAATATAGATGTTAAGAAGGTAATTAAAATATAACAGACTTACTTGAATAAACATACATCTTTTCTGAACCCAAACAGCTGGATGGAGTGCAGAAGACTGAAGTTTGGAGTACGGTGTTGAACCCGTCTGCTGAGGGAGGTAAGAAGATCACAAATTTATTTATGTAGCACATTTTAGCAACGAGGCGATTGAAATTCAGGTCTGAGTCCATGACTACATCTAGATATCCACCACACGTATGCCACATTTATGGGATTTCCTTGCCTCTCTGCCGAGAATGAGTTGATTCAGTCTCTTAACTCTGGCGTTCTCTTGTTTTCTCTTTATCTGTGTCTATATATTTATTACTGTTTAAACCACCAGTATACATGCTTTTGAGATCACATTTTTATGAGTTACAAACAAGTATTAATCAGTTCAGGACGTCTTCCCAGAATTATTGATTTGGTGTCTTTACGTTATAATGATTAGATTCTCTTTAGGTTTGGGGTTGAAAATAACCAAGTTTAACTTAATGGCTCTCTTCCGTCCACGACAGGAACACAAACTGTTCGTGTGAGCAAGATGGAACTGAAGTCAGTTGTGCCGAACTCTGTGCCAGAGACATTCATCAATGTCAGAGGTCAGTCACTGGTGGTAAGGATTAAAATATTAACCAGTGGAGAGTGCTCTGATTCCTGATTCCTCCTCTCCCCTCCAGGCAACGTGTTGGCAGACAGCATCGATAACTCCATCAGTGACGACTCCCTGGCCTCTCTGATCCGGATGCCCGGCGGCTGTGTGGAGCAGAACTTGGCCAGCATCACTCTGCCGCTCATCGCCACCCTCTACCTGGAGCGAACCAACAACTGGGAGAGTGTAGGGGTGGATCGCAAGGCTGAGGCTCTCCGCTACATCAGGAGAGGTGAGAGAGAAAGAAAAGAAGGCGTCGATAGATGGATGAAGGATTTCCAAAGAAAATAAAGAGAAGCAGTACAACGGGTGACTGATGTCTGTTTAAATGAACACATTAAAACAAAGATAACTTGGATGGACTGATGGATGGATGAATGAAAGAGTTGGTGAGTGGATGGACTGATCTCAATGTCTGGGGATGGATGGATGGATAGTTTGATACATAGGTGGATAGATGGAGGAGTGGTTGGATACATTGATGGGTGAATGGCTAGTTGCTTGGATGGATGGATGGATAGTCAGATACATGGATCTGTGGTTGAATGGATACAGCAATGGATGAATGGAGAGATTTTAGACGTTCTGTTTACATTATGAGTAAAGTAAGGTGCATCTCTCTCTCCTTCATATCCTTTTATCTTTGAATTCTTCCATGCTCTTTTCAGGCTATGAGAACCAGCTGGCTTACAGAAAGAGTGATGGCTCTTACCCCCCCTACAGGAGGGAAGGTGCAAGTACATGGTACTCTCAACATTTTACGTTTTACCAATTAGCTGATTTCCAAGAAAATACATAAGGTTCGAATGTGTGCATCCAAACACATTTTTCCTGTGCCACATTCTGAAATGAAATACTGCAGAACAATTCAAAAGTCACTATGTGTTGATATCAGTTGATATCACTTAAGCTGTTAGATACGTGGTGTAATGTGTTTGAATGTGACCAGATGTAGCTCTAACCACAGTCCGCCTGATTGTCAGGATCACGGCGTACGTGGTGAAAGTTTTCTCCATGGCTCACGCCATCACCGGCATCGCCGAGCAGCAGGTGTGCGACCCTCTGCTCTTCCTGGTGAAGAACAAGCACCGGCTCCAAAGGGGCAACTTCGTGGAGAACAACCCGGTTTACGATACTACCATGACGGTGAGACTTAAAATTCATTCTGTCGTAATTACCCACAATGCTGTGCAGCCAGAAGGCCATTCTTTTGGTTGTATTTTTGTAAAAAAAATAAAACAAAAAATAAGGTTGAACAACTGTTATGCAGTAATTGGAATGAACTGGTATCATTCTAGACTTTAATACAAACCTCGTGTTTGTGTCTCCAGGGCGGTCTCCGTGGTGACGATCCTGAAATAACCCTGACAGCCTTCGTCCTCATCGCGCTCGCTGAGGCCAAGCAGGCCAGGATCAGCTGCGCCGGTCCCAACATAGAGGTACTGTACATTTCATATCAGTTAACGGGTGTCTGTTGCCTTTTTTAATACTCGTTGTTATCATGATGGGGTTTATTATCAGTAGTTGTACTTAAAACTATTATCTACCACATGTGCCTGCTGCAGGTGGTTATCCGTAAGACGGCTGAATACCTGAAGAGAGCGCTGGTGGTGACGGGGAGGCGACCGTACACCGTGGCCATCGCCTCCTACGCGCTGGCTCTGCTGGGCAAAGCTCAACCCTACAACCCGATACCATCGTTACTCAGCGCTGCAGCTCCAGGTTTCTCATACACTCAGCCCTGTTTCATTAGTGCCTACAACAAACATCAAGTTACTGCCTCAGTCAATTCATTTTATTGATTTCTTTTGTCAAATGTCACCTCTTGAGGTTCTTCTCCATAGTCAATGTATTAGCTTAGATGGAGAAACAGAACGAAGTACCAGCACGGGAGCAAAGTACTGCTGTGGACGTATTTTAAACACCTTAACAAATCAATATCAGTTCAATCATTTTTATGCTATATTTAGAATATTTTCACTGTTGAACCTTGCTGCCAGACAGCCCTTTCCAACAGGGAGCTGAAGCCGTTATCTCTGCTCTCTTTAAAGCCACGAGACTCCATTAACAAAAACAGTCATTTTACCTCGCAGAACAAAAGAGTTGCTGGTCTACCGCTGCTCAGCAACTCTTTTGTTCTGCAAGGTAAAATGTGAAATACACAGCTACTGTAGTAGAACACTGACTATGGAGAAGAACCTGATGCAACCCCTCTTCAAATAATCCAAACTATGCCTTTAAAGCCGACATATCAGTGCTTCTATTTCCCCCTTCCTCTCTCCTCCAGGTGGCAGCCACTGGCCCGACACACACAACACCTTGTTCACCTTGGAGGCGACCGGCTACGCCTTGCTGACTCTGGTCAAGTTGGGGCTCATGGAGGAAGCGGCGGCGCCGTTCAAATGGCTGAACAACCAGCGGAGGAGAGGAGGCGGCTTCGGCTCCACTCAGGTAACGACAGGGCGACACTGGAAGTCCAGACTCTGATTAGAGCACCCACTGACAGGTGTTTTATTTAGCCCATCCCATTTATATCAACGAGGCTAAGCTAAAAGAAACACAGAAACACCACCTTAACAACCTACATCCTACAATATGACAATGCAATGTAGTTTGCACCATTGCCCAAAAGTTACAGAAAGCATTAAAAAGTATTAATGGGATAGCTACCCCGGTCCAAACGGTGTAGCAACGTATCTAACAGTCGAATGTGTCCTGAGCCTTCTCTCTCCATGCTAACATGACTTGCAGTTTCTTCAGATTGTTTCTAAAAGTAAGAATCATAAATTAAATGAAATGTCCTTCAAGCTTTGTTATCGGTGCTCCGTTTCCCTCCTCAGTCCACCATGGTGGTGCTCCAGGCGCTGTCAGAGTACCTGATCAACAAACCTCCTCCTGTTGACCTCAGTCTGGATGTGGACGTCAGGATGACGGGACGCAGGGAAATCCGCTACCAATTCAACCACGATACCGCCTACGTGGGTCAGTCCTCCAGGGTGAGAGATCTGAAACCAGTGAAATCAGTTTATCATGATGTTTCTCACTTGATGTTCAGAAACTGTACAGAACGACTCTAAGTTGAGTTTCATAACATTAAAAAGTGAGTTTGCAGGACATTTCTGCAACATCAGGGAGTATATTTTTAATGTGTTTTACCCTTAAAGATAGAACAGAAGTAGAACGTACATTGACTTGTTTGTCTTGGTCATTTGATTTGTACAAATCATAATAAATCAAGAGAGAAGTAGAGTCATTTTCTCATAGACTTCTATACAACCAGAGGAGTCGCCCCCTGGTGGACATTAGAGAGAATGCAGGTTTTGGTCACTTCACACACTGACCGCCTGGTACAAAAGAAAATGGTGATTCTAGTTAGATGTTGTTGAACAATTTGTATTCAAGTTCTACTCCTAATCTGTTTCTATGATTTTAACACAAAATGTCTTCTTTGCAGTTGCCGGCTAATCTTGATGTGGAAGTGCAGGCTCGAGGGAACGGACAGGGAATACTGGAGGTACGATGACACGATGACACTTTTAGTTCAGCAAAAAAAAAAAGTTCTCACATGAGATATAAACACATGCAAAAATAAAATCAATGATACGATCACATGACCGACATCACTCAAAACCTACACAGAAATACGGCAGGAAGTTGTTTCTAACCGGTTAACTTTTTGAGAACAAGGCTTTTATTTTGTTTCTTGTAACTCTTCTGTTTTGCATGTGGTGTCACTTCCTGTTACTCAAACTTTGAACCAAGGTTGTGACGTATTACAACCAGCTGCATGAGGTGGATGAGAGAATGCCCTGCAAGGCCTTTGAGCTCAACGTCACTATTGAAGAATCCAGCGGTAACTCAAGTTCTGTCTCATAATATACATGAACGATGTCTCTCTCTTTATATTATCTAATAATTTAACATCTTGTCTGTCGGTCGAGTCACTTTTAGTACCACAAAGGGATGAAAACATTCAAGCAAAGTTGAAAACAATCCAGACCGTACCATGTCCTTGATATACCGGAAACAAACTGCATCAAACATGACATAATGACAACATGACATAATGACAACATGACATAATAATAACAAAATAAAATAAAATATAAAACACAAAAGCTAAATTATTAAAACACCATCCATGATTTATAGATAACAAAGCAGAATATAATGTCAAAGATGAACATTCTATTGCCATTCATAATGGTAGTCACCATCACACATTGTTGAAGCATAATATTTTAAATATTGACAAATACATTTAGTAAACTATATTTATAAAGCACTTTTTACAACAATGTAAAAATGTAAAGAAAGTCCCAAAATTATACAAAAATATTGGAAAAAAATTTAACACAAATTGAATTAAACAATTCAACACACACTGGACATCTTCAATAAATTATTATATCATCATTAGTAAAATAAAATGACATTCTGTGGCACAACTGAATATTAGTACTATGAATTTAAGGCCACAGCACATCAAGAAATGCTTTGTTTCCACAGAAAAGCCTCCAGCTGATGTAGAAAAATCCTACCAGATCACCATCAAAGTGCGGTGAGTTATTGTCTTTATCCTTTTTTCACTTTTATGAAAAAAGCAGCCTGTCTTGTAGTGTTTGAATAAAAAGCTGAAGTATGTTTAGTCAGTGCTGGTCTTTGTCCTCCCCACAGGGCTTTAGGACTCAGAGATGTCCGGATGGTGGTTCTGGACATCAACCTGCCCACCGGCTTCACCCCAGAAAACTCCGACCTGGAGATGGTAATCGGCCTCTACTGACAGATTAAAGTTTAAAGTGTAGCCTGCTGTAGAGCACATCTCCACTTAGTTTACATTCACAGAAACGTGTTTTTGAATCAGTCTCAAAGATTTTCACGTAACGTGTCTGTTTAGTTACTGTTGATCGCAGAAGGAAGTAACACAACGGTGAATGATGAAAGTATTGCAGTATTTATATATTTGCAGTGTTACAAACAACACAATTCTGTAAATTTGAAGGTCAAGCGTCAACAAAAAGACTGCAGACTGCTAAACTCTGAGCACGACTCCATTGTTTTCACTCAAATTTAAAATCGAAATAAACCAGGACTTAAATCTTAAGGATTGCCACTTTAAGAGAATGCGTAATAGTTTTACTGTATGAAATACTTTTTGCTCTTATTTTGAAAAAGTGATGAAACTGACATGAAGAATAGGAGTATAGGAGTTAAACGCATTAAAGTTCCAACTAAATTGATCATAATATCGATTATATAAAAATGTATTTTTATCTGAGCTGCACTTTGGCTCACAGAGGAGCAGCGATGTAACCGTGAAGGGAGCTTCAAACAGGGCTGACTTCGTCTTTTATTTGTCTAAAAAAACAAACCGAGATGAAATAAAAACAGGAATGATCTTCTCGAGAAAAGACCTGATTCATCGGGGTGTTTGATTCTTCTTCTAACAGAAAAGAAGCCAACATCCCGATGGATCCCTTTCAGAAAGCAGTTAATCAAAAGTGTTCTACATCGTAACCGATTCTGTGTTCGTGTGTGTGTTTGTCCAGCTTTCAAACTCAGTGGACCGTTACATCAATAACTTCCAGATTGTTGATAACCTGAGTGACAGAGGCTCTCTGATCATCCACCTGTTCAAGGTAAAGCATCGACGAGCTGCATCGTGTCATTGAGATGCACAAATACAAAGTTTCCCTCAATGAAAACAAATGTCTCTAACGGAGTTAATGCCTCCATTTCTGTGGCTTTTCCAAGTTGCAGGTTTACTCAATCATCTGGATCTTTGCACAGTGAAACCCAGCGCTTGCTTACTCTTCACTGTTGCTATGACACACTGTCGTCCCCTGTCCTCCTCCCAGGTGTCTCACAAAGAGCCGGAGATCCTGATCTTCAGGCTGCAGCAGAGCTTCAAAGTGGGCCTCCTCCAGCCGTCCTCGGTCACCGTCTACGAGTATTACAACCCAGGTAGGACGAACACGTTCTGACCACCACATCCAGGAAATAGTTCACACCACATCCAGGAAATAGTTCACACCACATCCAGGAAATAGTTCACCACCACATCCAGGAAATAGTTCACCATCACATCCAGGAAATAGTTCACCACCACATCCAGGAAATAGTTCACCATCACATCCAGGAAATAGT